GGCGATTTTTTTTTTGAAATTGTACTGTAGCACTTTCGTTGTTACTTGGCAATTAGTGTCCAATCATAGTCTAATTAGGCTTAAAAGATTCGTCTCGTGAATTTCGTCTAAACTGTGTAATTAGTTTTATTTTTTATTTATATTTAATGCTTCATGCATGCATCCAAAGATTCGATGTGACGAAGAATCTTGAAAAATTTTACAAAATTTTGAGAACTAAACAGGCACTTAGTCGTTTTCTTTTTGCAGCATAAATTGGGAGCAATCCTCTGATCTGCTGTGCGAGTAAGGACTAAGGAGCAGGATTGTAATGGGCGTCAAGCCAGATGATTATCAGATCCTAGTTGGACAATTTCTTGGACAGCCTTGTTGTCTTCTGGCCCGGCGAGTATTTTATTTTGTAAACCCACTGCATCGCGTAGCCTAATCCCTAATGATTATGCAGTGCTCCTGCCATTCTCCCAGAATATGTTCTCCAGCTTTATTTTTTTCGTCAATCGGTTGCATCAGGTTCTTCCTTGCACTGGTGCTGAATTCACATTCTATGAGCGACTCCTTCGTGTAAAGACCTGCACAATTTTAATGTTAGAACATTTTGATTTACTTGTATCCACCTCGATCATCATTTACACCTCAATCCAACTCAAAATATGTGGATTGAGGTGGATATAAATATAAATGCAGTAAGACAAACCCTAATGGTAAAACAGACCTACGCTACGAATAAAAAACATCTCGGTAGAGCTAGCACCGAACGTCGCGCCTACTCTGTCTTGCGCACGTATGCAGGGAGCGTCCCGCCTTCTTCGTTTCGCTCGCGCACACGGGAATCCACGCGCCCCGCCTGCGGATGCGCGCCACGTGACTCTGGCCGTCCCATCCAAGAGTATACGCTTGAAACATGAAACACTTGTAACATACACTTGCAACATATGTCTCAAACAGTTGAAACATTTGGAACATACACTTGCAACATATATGTATAACACCTGCAACATCCAGATAAAACACTAACAACATACGTCTAAAATAGATGAAACATTTTGAACAGACACTTGCAACATTCATGTATAGCCATTGCAACATATGCAACATCCGGGATCTACTTTAACAATGTTCATTTGAAACACTTGCAACGTACCTCTGAAATATCTGAAACACTTGAAACATATATTTGCAATATGCGTTTTTAGTGAAACATCTCCTTGCTGATTGAGTGAATTTGGACGAATGGCGTGGCGAACTGGCGTGGTAGAGGCGCCCACGCAGCGAACTGGCACAGTGGAGGCGGCCATGTCAAGCAGATGAGACGGCCGCGGCAGGCAAGGTGAATCCGGGCGGCTGGCGCGGGGCGAATCCAGACGGGCGGGGGCGGGTGGTGCAGGCGGTGTGAATCGTCTGAACGGACAGACGGACGGACGCCCTGCACAAGCATCGTTGATAAACATATTCATGAAAAATCGTTAGCTCTTGGCATGGATCGGCCACCGAAAACTAGTGCACTCAAACATTTTCACTTATCCATAGGATCCTTGGTTACAGTTGGTAGTAAATGCAGTTTTATCATACCCAACCAAGAAAAACATATGTTTGCTCTGCTCCAATAATAATTAAATCCTGTAGCAAAGTAAGCTCTTATTTAGTTCCACTCCTAAAATTTATTCCCTATCACATCGGATGTTTGGAAACATGCATTGAGTATTAAATATAGGCTAAAAAAATAACTAATTGCACAGATTACGACTAATTTGCGAGACAAATTTTTTTAAGCCTAATTAGTCCATGATTTGACAATGGTGTGCTACAGTAAACATGTGCTGATGATGGATTAATTAGGCTTAATAAATTCGTCTCGTGGATTATTAAGGACTTTTATTTTATTATTATTATCCGAACACTCCTATGTAACACCCAATGTGACATTCTTAAACTTTACTCCCTGAATTTAAACACCACCTAGGTACCTCAGTTGGTAGTAGGTACAGTGACGACAGTGAGGCGTCTTTAGCAATTTTATCAGTCTTGAAATCTCAGTCCAGTCCAGATATATAAACGTCTGCGTTTCAAAAAATATAAATCCAGTCTAGTGCACCGCAGATTCTCTCTTTTTTTTTCCTGACCATATTATATATGATGACTCAAAGAATGGCGTCGAATATCCTTAGAAAATTCCCAACAGACCTGAGTGGAAGTAGGGTCGGAGGTCGGAATTAGATTCGTCCCTTTGTTTTTCTCTGGACACAGGTTTGACATGACACAGAGAATACGATTCCAGTAAAAGCAATTGATAGCACGAGGATTCATACTCCTATGCACTAATATAAAATTTCCAACTCAGCAGTTTTCGGGGTGACCGGACGCACCGATCGATGTCCAGTCATTATACCACTAGCCAGCACCGAAATATGACCATTACTGTAATCGGACTCCAAGGTAAGTATGATCCCTATCCACCTAACGCGTCAGGTCAACAAAAATATTCTCTGGACACTCTTTGATGTTGACCGGACTCGACAGCTTGCGCGTCCGGTCACATTTTGTCCCTGCGTCCGGTCCGTAGTCAACAGCGGGTTCACGGTCAAAAAGTTGTAGTGTCTCCTAAAATATCTACTCAATTTTAAGACAACAACATATTTTAGGAGATAACCCAATAAAACTTGTCTCTGTAAATTGATTTACAAAGACGTGTTTCTTAGTGGGTTGTCTTTGTAAGTCTGTCTCTATAATTCAATTTTATAGAGATGGGCTCTGTAAAAACGCCGCTCGTAAAAAAACAAACTTAAGGCCGATAAAGACATTGACAAGTGCCAACACTAACCAGCCGCATCCTAGCAAACACATCCCCACAACCATACTCCCCTCATATCCCAACAACGGCCACCTCCCACTGTTCTCCCACTTCGGATACCCTCGATCACAACTCCCCACATCTCATCTTCTCCACCTCAGCGTCAGGGGTGGCTCACGCAGCCGTGGTCCTGTTCGTCCTCCCCATCCTCATGTACGCCAACTTCCTGATCTAGATCCACCATCACCGAGGTGATATATCGCTGCCCTCCTCCCCTCTGACTCTTTCCTCGTAGATCCGCTCTAGAAGCTAAGCTATGGCCCTTTTTCCTCTGTCTTTCTTTGTCTTCTCGCAGATCTATGGCAGAGAAGGCATAGACGGACGAACGGCTTTGACCTGCGGCGCAGGCAGTGCGAACTGACGGGTTCGATATGTGGCAGAGATGGTGGGGCAGGCGGATCGATTTGTGGTGGAGATGGCACGGGTGTACATCTGCGAGGCTTGGCGGCGAACTCGACGAGCTCAATTGGCTTGGCAGCGAAGTTGACTGGCTTAGTGGGCTTGGCGACAAACTCAGCAGGTTCATTGACTAGCCTCGACCACAGGTTCATTTTGTTTGTGTTTTTAATCCATTTCCAGAGGTAGGCATTGTTAGACGCCCGCCTCTAGAGTTCCATTTCTAGAGGCAGGCATTGTTAGGCACCCGCCTCTAGAGTTCCATTTACACGGACATGGATCACACCCACCTTTGCAAATCTTTGATTTATAGTGACTTCATGGCATAGGTAGGCGGACAGGCCGCCTGTGAAAATGCTAAACGATCGACAATGAAAATCGGTTTTGTATTAGTGGTGGATTGGGAAGATTGATCCATTGTGTTAATGTTTTTTTTTCTCCAAACACATATTATGAGATATAATATACGTATGATAGTGGCAAAGGTATATTGTATGAACTTCCTTGTACGGCTAGTATAGATATTTAATGGTTTGTTATTAGGTCAGATTAGGGATCCGGCTTGTTAAAAATTAAGTCTATTTGTGAGTTTAGAGATAAATCCGCTTGCATTCTTAGGTAAGACAATAATACTTACTCATACACTGAAAATTTTGTCTCAAAACTCCAAGGGTTTTGTTTGGCTTTTGTGCCACACTTTTATGAATACAAGGGGCGTTATAAAATCACATGAGAATGAATATACTACACCGCTGATGTGCACATGATAGGTTATGTAGGAGCCATTTGGCAGAGCTCTCTGATCGGATTCTCCTTGACAATCACTATTCTTAGCCAAACAGCAAAACTACATACGGATTCTGATGGAGAGTAGAGAAGAATCACTTTCTTATTTACATTAGAAGCTAGAAAAAGGATATGCTCCTCACTGCTCTCTATTCAATCTCCACCAAAATCACTTTTCACCTGCTTCGCCGTCAAAATCAAGTAGAATCATTTCACCGAAGAATGAAGGAGTTATTAGAGCTAAAAAATAGAGAGTAAAGCTCTATCAAATCACCCGTGGAATTCAGACATACACGGACCAAGATGTGTACGTATCTTCACATAGCAGCCAACCATAGTTTACAGTGCCACAATAACATATAATATGCTATATATGTATAATACAATATAGCCTCAGCAAAGGGTTATTTATTTTCCAAATTAACCACCATAAATAAACCATCAAAAGAAGGGGCAGGTGTACAAGTACAACCACAACCACCGGGTTTCTCCTCCAGTCTTGAGCACCCTATTATCATATCCTATGTGTTGACAAATCTGCAGGTCTTCCTGACCTCGCCGCCGGCAGGGTTTGTGATGTTGCCCATCTTCACCATGGAGTCGGAGAACTGCTTGAAGAAGGCCTCCGGGTCGGCCCAGTACTTGTTGACGGTGTCGGAGGTCGAGTAGCCGGCGATGCCGGACCACATCTCCTGGTCGGAGTTGAGGAGTCCCTCGCCCTTGATGAGCGTCTCGAAGTAGGCGTTGTCGAACACCGCGGAGGTGTGGCTGTCCATGGCGCTGATGTTGTCGTCGCCGTCGTCCCGCGGGCACACCTCCTTGAGCTTGCTCAGGTACGCCTCGGACGACGGGTTGTACTTGGACGTCAGCTCGAAGTCGCCGTAGATTCTGTCCCTGAAATTCGCGCACCTGGCGAATCCGATCGTGTGGGATCCTATATATATGCACGTGGTAGACATTTGTATATTAGTCAGGCAGGAGTTGGAATCCTGAAGACTGGTGGTTTTAGCAGAGGAATTGGAGGGAGCAGCATACCGACGAGGGCCACCATGTCAGTGGCATCAAGGCCCTTCTCCCAGAACTTGGCAATGAGCGTGAGGAGGCCTTGCTGAGCAGTGGGGATGTCGTTGTTTGCCAGGTCCAGGCTCGCCTTCTTGGAGTCCAATCTTCCTACAGGGACATCCCAGTAAGGCCCACCAACCTGCAAGACATAGTACAGTCGTCAGTTCTGTATGTGTAGTATAACATGCATGGATACAGTACAGGGTGTGTACTGCACAAGGCACAAAATAAAATAAGATCGGCCGGGTAGATAGATATGATGTGGTTTGGTTTACCAGCACAACCGCGTCCCTAGCTGCAATCGCCAGCAGGTCTGCGCAGGAAACGGTTCCAGGGCACTCAGCTTCCAGCTTCTCCTTGATCTTGTCGACCAGCTCGAAACCTTTGAGCGAGTTGACGTTCTGCTCTGCCTGCTTCTCTCCGATCACGGTTGCCGTGTCGTCGAGCAGCACTGATCCGTCGCAGCCCTGCAAGTTAAGATGACGGTCGTACGCGTCGTTCAGAATGATTCATTCACATAATGCATGCATGTTCAGCTGCAGCACAAATTGGAATAGAAGGGCTGCTGCTGCTGCATTGCCTGATACCAGCTTGCACGCACGGTGCACAAAGCTGCAGATTGGTCAGTGTGTGAAGTAAACCAAGCAAGAACAACAGAGAGAACTAGTTAACTGACCTGAACGAAGCAGTCATGGAAATGGAGGCGGAGCATGAGCGCGGCGTTGCGCGTGTCAGCACGCACCAGGCACTCCATCTCCGTCCGGACGACGTGCTCCACGTTGGGGCACGTCTTGGAGTAGTATTCCAGGCTCAGCTTCGACGGGTCCTGCGCCACCACAAGCCAGGGCACGCCGGCCAGCAGGAGACATGAAAAAATGCAGAGGTCAAACGATGCCGGCCTGAAGCAGCCCAATACGCCTGTGGCCATCGTCCTCAAGCTGTTCTGTTTCCTTGGCAGCAGCTGATGTTTCTGTTGCAAGCTTCCGGCCCTGCATGGGCTTTATATATATAGGAGTAGCAAAGTGAGACGAGGCTACGTGGTGCACATGGAGAAGCGAGTCAAGAGGAAGATGAACCAACTCTCATGTGGTTGGTGGAGTAAGCAAGCTGAAAGGATCAGTATTTTTATGTTTTTGCAGCAAAACTTGCTACGCATGGGTCAAACCTTGCACTAGCGCGCGTTTGGTGGTTATGGGTTCACCAATCGTGGAAAATCTTCAGTCTTCAGAGCATCTGTCTGAGATGCATCAAACTATTCTTCTTGCATGCATGCGTACTACATATCATTTGGATGTTTCCAGGTGTTTACTGCTGGAGATTCCCACAACCACAGGTGTCAAATGCAGATTATGGATTGCTGCTTGAGTGCTTACACTTTGCTTGTGCTACTTCTACTGTAAAATCTTATGTTCCTATGTTAGATAACCTTCCCCATGAACGAAACCAGTAGTAGTTGAGCAGGGCTACCTAGACTTTTTTTTCTTTCTTTTTTTTTTTTTTTTTTTTTGGGGCGGAGGGCTACCTAGACTGTGTTTGATGATCAGACTGCAGACTTCAGAAACAAGGACATGTCTCCCTTTAGAACATACGGAGACCAATAATTCTAGAAAGACGAGTATGCCTTGTATGAAAGCCGAAAATAGCACTATCAAAAAAAAAAAAAAAAAAGCCGAAAATAGCATCTCAGAGGCAGAGCTCCTTACCTGCAGATGAATTTACTTTACTAGTCACCATCTGCCTGAATTCCTGAGCGGTGGGACCCACGCTGCAGTGGCTTAGTCCTGGCAGCTCACCGGTGACCACCTCTACCGAACTGCTGTAGATATACGCACTCGTGCAATGGAATGAAGATGGTTTTGAAAGGGGAAAAATTGTGCTTTTGACTGTGTAAAACTATAAATAGAACTACCAGGAGGGAGGAATATTGATTCTCAAATCCCAAAATAAGGTGGCATGCCTTTTCCAAAGAGGAATCAATAGCTGAGAGCGTAGTTTGCGCAGTGCTGTGTGTAAGGATAGTCACCAGGATACGATTTTTGCTGACGCCTAGGTTTTTTCACAGGCAGTTAATAAAGAGTAGCTGCAAGTAAAAACAGATGTGTGGACCTATGTCTATGAACCGTTAGTGTAGACACAGCTACACTAGTGGTATCCTTAAAAAAACGCTAGTGTAAATATATGATTTACATTGGTAGTTAACTTAACTCTACTGCTAGTGTAAGTTAACTCTGTATTGTCTGTTGTCTTAAGTGCCCACCAATGTAAATCCGTTAATTAACTCTGCATTGCCTGCTGTCTTAAGTGGCCACCAATGTAAATCCTATATTTACACTAGCGGTTTTTAAGGATACTACTAGTGTATAAAGGTTTACACCGGTGATTTTCTTAATGTACCGTCCATATATACAAATAGCACTATAAATACGCTTACCCTCCCCCCTCCCCAAAGAACTATATAGACCGAGCCACCTTCTATTGTTGGTGTCCTTAGAGGTCCAAAAATTACAAAATACAAGAGGAATGGTTTTGATCTTCGTTTCTTTAAAGGAGGTTACTCAATAAGGTTAGTTAATCCCTATTCTATAACTTTTTGGATGAATCCTTCCAATTTGTGGCCTAATTATATCTAGGTTTGTGTATGGAGAGAGAAAGCATGCATGGTATTTGGGTATTCTAATACCATATTCAACAAAGTCTGTGTCCCCAGATTATTGTATTAATAGATAGCCTCACATGTTCCTTCCATTATTTTCATCAATTTCATAATTTATGGATCCATACATGCATGAATAGGGAATAGTTTTAGATCTAGATGGTGAATCTGGATCCATACATGTACGAACAACACTATTTATATCTAGAACAACCACCAGTAAAAACTAACGGCGAGCGGAAGTGGCAAGGAAAGGGCAGTAGCAGCGTTGGTTTTGTTCCTTGATACTCGCAAGTTAGGAGAGTGTGTTTAGTTGTGATGCAATGGCTCGGTTTTGGTCACGTGGTGGCTGGGACCGGCCCACCAACTTAAAATACTTGAAATACATGTTCACACATATACAAGTGGTGGAGAAGACGACGGTGGAAGTAGGACTTCACACTACTAAAAATATCCACTTCTATAACGAACAATTTTCATCATAATTTTAGTTTTGTGACGAATTTATGATGAAAAACGGTTCGTCATAGAAGTCGCGTTATTCTTACAATTCTATGACAATTCTAGAAAATCATCTTAGAAGTGGATAGATCTATGACGAAAACTGACCGCCATAAAACTATTTTGGCATGAGTGGCAGGGGGCAGCTACGCTAGTGGGTGCTTTCGTTGGAGATGTTTTCCACGTGTACATGCTATAGCCGGTTGCATTGGAGATGGTTCGGGTACGTGTCACATTCTTATTGCACAACGTGGCCATCTCTGGTTCTTGCATGTTTCAGGCTCTTACTGGACCACATGTCAGGACCTTGTTGTTCCACATGTCAGTTTTCTATTGGCACACACGTCGTGTTGTGGTTGGGTCACGTGTCACTTCTTCATTGGACCATGTGGCGTGACCATAATACCCCGCGTGTCTTTCTTTTCCTCGACCACGTGTCTCGATGCTATATGTCCGCGTGTCGGTATTTTGTTGGGCCACGTGTCACGCCCTGAGCTACCCACGTGTCTTTTTCTGATTCAACCACGTGGTAGGATGGATCTGTACCACGTATTTTGTTTGTATTGGCCCACGTGCCCTGTCATGACTGTTACACATGTCATTCACTGGTTCGTCCATGTGTTAGACTCTTATTTGACAACGTGCCTGTGCCGGATCTACCACGTGCACACCAATCATTACATCAGAGAAAATGATTTCAGATCTACACTGCTGCACAAAATGACTACATGCATAATTATATTGAACCTAAATCAAATAACAGTAGTTCAGCTCAGCAGCAAACCACTGACAGAGTTCACATATCAAGCCACCAAAATTTCACATCAAAACAGCAAACAAACCACATGTTCACTGCATCAACAAGACCGAGAGTTACCAGCGCTTAAGAGCATGATATGCTCACGGAGCTTATTGTACTCTTCCTGTTGCTGTTTCTTGAACTCGTCAAACTCCCTATCAGTGTTTTCTGCCTTACTCTTCAGTTGATCCACTTGTTCGGTGAGGACAACTGAACTTTCCTGATGAGCAGCAAGCCGTTCCTGAAGTTTGGAGCAGCTTGTCTAGATACTAGCATTCTTCAAAGAAAAGGTATTGCAGCTGGTCTAGGAGAGGACCTTGAAAACAACATCAGCAACAGGTTCTGCTTCGTATAGTTTCCATAGCTTCATGCGAAAACCAAGGAGTAAACATTAGGAAGAGGACTTAAATTGCAGAACCAAGAGATTATTTTATTACAAGTAATGCATAGGTCTTCCTTAGCCTACTGCCAACAGAGATTCATAAGCACAATGCATAGGTAATATATTAACTACTGTAATATTACAACTTCAAAATGATGGTGCCACTTTAGGCTCCTACCTTTTCTTCTTTTATGCCAATGGCTTCAGTCAATTTAAAGGAAAGCAAATGAAGGTACTTACCACTGCTTCTCTTGCAGCATCGCTCAATCCCGTGTTGCTACTGGTATGGAAGTTATTGAAGATTCCCACTGCATCAACATCTTCATGAGGTCAATCATGTTCTTCAACGAGCACTTCTTGATCATGTCCCGCGTCCTTCCTGTTTTTGTACTTCTATGAAAATTGCGCATGCCTTTCTATTGATACAAAAGGCATTGCGTATTTGATATAAAAAGAGTAACACAACCATCACTTACATATGCTTGCAGGTGGGCAATATAGGAGCTAGATCTTGTAACCTGGTGGCACTTGACTTTTGCATGATTTCACTTGTTCTGCTCTGAGACTGCCTAAAACTACAATTGTGTTAGATTATAGCACAAGTAGATGACATAAAGACTAGACAAGAAATAAATGAGTTCACACATACACACCTTATTCTTGGAGCTTAACCACCCGTGGACAAGTGCACACCACTATGCGTCATTCATGCAAGACACAGGAGAGGTATTTCCAATTTCATCAGCGGGGACACCATTGAAGTAAGATCGCTTGAACCTGTACCATGTCTGCCGTACAACATACTAGAATATACTCGTACATGCTTCTTTTGTTGCTTCATCATTGTCATCAATGGCCAACCTCAATTGTAGAAGTGTGAATGCAAATTAAATCTATTACTAAGTTGCTCAAGGCAGAGTTGAATATCAACAGAGGATATACATACTTACAGATAGCTTGGCAACAAATCCATTGAGATGTTCGATCCGTTGCTTGTAATGTTTCTAGTGCAGAAAAATTGGTACTTGAGACCTAACTACTACACCTGCCTCTGAGGCAAACTTGGCAGCTTGCAATGGGTCATGTGGCCTTCTGTTCCCCTTGACAACTGAGATGTGCATCCTTATTCCCATTGATTGGGTGGTTTTGTGAAGCCCAACCCCCTTAGTTGCTTGCCTCGACTTCCTCGCTCTTCTCTGCAATGGTACTACATAGTTTTCATACATTCAGATTGTTAGAAAAGTAACATGGATATCAAATAGTGTGACTTGATTTATAGACATGTCTAAGGTAGTACCAACCTTTGCAAGTTTGATCATTCTGCTGGCGGGGAGGTGGAGTCTCCTCTTCGGCATGGCTAAGGTCATCTTCATGTGACCAGTCCCCCACAGGGCTTTGTTCGCCTTGTGCATGCTGACTTTTGGACCTAGATGGAAGTATAAGATGCTGCAACTTTGCTAGACTAGTTGGCTTCACTCTCTTGGATTGCCATCCCCTAGGACCTATATCGGTGCTGCCTTTTGCACTACTGGTAGGGACTTCTCTACGGCTTGTTCAACCCACAGCCTGAAATTGGAGAAACAAACTTAAGCA